GAAATATAGGGACAAGCATAAAAAAAAAAAAAAAAAAAAAAATTGGGATTAGACAAAGAAGTGACAGTGAGTAATTATCCGGTCAGGCTCATAATTCGGCTTCTCCAGTTGCAGAAGAAAGTTGTGTTAATATGATGAGATCGGATGAGGGAATTGTGACCATCGTCGGCAATGGATGTGCTAGCAATAGCTCTATATATGATAAACAGGTGTGGGAGCTTAAAGCTAGATATACAACGCTTGAAAGTATGGTCAGGGAGTTAAAATTAAGCAGATTCATCTGACGCAACTTTTGGAAAAGCTTCTGAAACAAGACTTTTTTTAGTTGGTATGTCCAGAACCTAGCTTTTATTACTGTGCTTTTGCTTAGTGATGAACACATTTCTTTCTCTTCATACATTTGACATGATTTTTGTTTTGCTTGCAGTCTGAATCTGGATTCTGTTAGTTTGTTAGCTGAATGAGAAGGTCGAACGTATAAATTACATTCATTTTTTTAACAATGCAGCCATTTTTAAGTGGTAAAGAACACTCTTAAGAATTTGAATCACTGATCACAAGCTAACAGACTTGCAATATTCGTTTTATTTACAAGTCCATTTATAATGATTTTTCTTCTTTCTAGCACTATTATGTAGAAATCTGAATTGAGTTGCTCTGTTCATTACAAATGCAAGTTATCTGAGTATGAAATTACCATTTTTGTTCTTCTTATCGGTATTTACCTCCCATTCCTTTTCGTAAAACACTTTGCATTTTGTTTCTGTTATGCAACATGGTTTCGACCTCTTGAGATCGTGAGATAAAGTTTTTCGTCTATATGTTTTTCGTGTGCAGGGAAATTTCAGGAAGAGAATAGAACTTGGAAGTAGCAGAAACTTTGCATTGCTGATATATTGCAGCTAATATGTTCTGGAAAATACTTAACCTTTTGATCAAAGCCTACATTTGCCAATAGGTTTGCTAATTAGGATCTTTAAGTAATGTGGTTCGCCTAGCAAAGAAGTTGATTGTTTTTTTTTTAATTGCTCTATTAATTGTCCATTGATCTTGATAAAACCAAAAATTCTGACCATGAAGAACAAAATTCCTGAGTCCATTGATCTTTATGCAATACAATTCAGTTCCGTTTAACTTTTGTTATCCGAAAAGTTACATGGATTATGATTTTTCTTATCCGATAACCGAAAGTCATTACGTTCCTAACTGAGTCGCTCTGTTCATTACCCTTTTGATCTCAGTGAACAAATTAACAATGTGGTTTGTCCATCAAGAAGTTAATTGCTTTTTTGGTCGATACAGAAACCTTGGATCAAAGGCTTGAGAGATCTTTGGCCTCTCAACCAAGCGGCACCCAAGGCTAGCGTCCTAACCTGTTTCATAATTTGTTTGGGAATGTGTTTGGGGCTGCTCTCGGTTTGCATTTTGAATCAAAATTTCAACATGCTTCTAGTAAAAGCATTTTTACCAAAAGCGTTTCTGAGCATAAATACTTGGCTCCAAAAAGCCCCAACTCAAATAGATCATTTGGCAGAAATATGTAAAACTGTCCTTCCCAAAAAGATTATTTAGAGGAGAAACATGGTTATCCGGCTTTCTTTTGGATTGGATGCTCAAATTCTAACTTGTTTCATTCCCATAGAGGAAGATATCGACCGGAGAAACGCGAATGTTGGGTTTTGTTTTATTTTGGTATGAAAAAACATAAATTTGCCCAATTTGGACTGCTTATGGGTTTGGTTTTCTATTAGAAGTTAACCTTAAGCACACCGGTTAAAAGCGCTTATGAACAAAAGTAATTCTTATAAATGTCGTTCCAAATAGGCCCTACTCAATTTGAAAATAACTAATGCTATTGAAAATACAAATGTCATAGAAAAATCAAGAAAAATATCAAATAATTGAAAATAACCGGAAATTTCTATTTTGATCGGTCAAACTTTATAAATCAACATGTGCTACAGATAGATGATTCGAATCATTAAAATACAATTTTTGCCCAAAAATAATCATTAAAACAAAAAACAATGAAGAGTGTGGTCCGTAGAAATTGTCCCTCAAATGGAAATATTTGATGGATTGATCTCTTAAATAATAATTGATTTACCATGACATTTCAAATAAGGAAGAAAGTTCTTTTTTTGAAGAGGATGAGGAGGAAGGTTCTCATTTCCTACTAATGTGTCATTTCATTGTATAAATATTATAAATGGAATCATTTATTTTCATATAAATTTATTTTTCGGAAAAATTAATTTGATTCGAAGACATTCATATAATTTTAAGAAAATGATGACATTTTTTTTGTTTTGAAAGGAAGCGTTGTATTGATTAACCAAACCCATTTAGAGTTACATATGCCTCGGAGGAGGAGCTCAATGAGAGTAGGAGGCTCCTCAATCAAAACTAGATTATTGCTACTAGACAAAGCAAACTTAGCAAGATGGTGGCTCTGGCGAACGGACATGTAAGAAGCACATGAGCTGCAGTTTGGAAGAATATCATGGCACACCCTCCAGGTGAAATTCTTAAATTAGGGAGGAATGTTAGCCTTCCAAAGGTGCTTCCAAAGCCTCGCATAAGCACTGGCAGTGGTAGAGGAGGATGCACTGGCAATTAAAATGATGACTTATTCTAAGGATGCTATTTGTCAATATACATGCGGATATCTAATACATTATGATACGTTATGATGATTAAACTATCTCCATTAAATGATTTAAATAATAATAATCTTTAAATAGTAATAAACATAAGGGAAATTTTATTTACTCATATAACCTCTTTCTACACCTAACTTAAATTTTAATTGTGAATTGTTTTTTTAGTTTACCCTTTTGCATAATTACCATCAAATACGAGATGAAATTAACAATAAAACTAAAATTTATCAATAAACCCACATCCCAAATAATCAAATTCTACTATCACGCAATGTTTATCCTACTTTCATCACGCAATTAATCAACATTTATCTGAGCCATTTATTCGCAAGAAATCATCATTATGTGTTGTCTGCACCAAAAATAGCAATAACATATTTTAGAAAAATCGAAAATCACGAACCATAAAAGTCTTCATAAACTAAACATCCGGAACTTTCCAACCATATAAAGCACAATATCTATTTCATCTTAAGGAAGTACAACTTAATCTTCAAACTTGACAAAAAGAATAATTCCAATAGAAGCCAAACGCCTTGGATAAACAACAAACCGAGGAGCCATGACCTTGAATGCCGTGGTGAGGAAAGGAGGTGTCAAGTATCCTCTTTGTCCGGTGATGAGACCCCACCGTCGATTTGTAGAAGCATTGATCATACGTTGTGAATAATATTCCACGGGTTCTTATTCTTCAAATTGATGCACCAATATCTACTTTGGCTAATGCAAACTATTTAAGGCATAGGTAATAAAATACAAGTTAAATATCGATATATGAAAACAACATAGTCAGCGAGATAGAGATTTAATCTATGCTCAAAATCCGGTTCACAGGATCTCAAAGTGGTACATGAGGAGGAAGACAAGATAAAATGGGAGAAACAAGCTTACACTACGTTATAATAGATATTGGCAGTAAGTGATCAAACTGCAATGGTCACAAATTAAACTTTTACGATATCTGCCATTAAGCTTTACTACGAGTCTAATGCTAAAATTAAAATCAAATTACAGTTGTTGGAAGCATCGATTCTAGCGGGATCACCATGCTTGAAGAGGTCCAGAAAAATGTAGATAGAAAGGGTCTCAAGGTATGATATTATGGTAGACTAGTTCTGTTTGATATAGTTCATATTTTTGTTTGATCTGTCAGCTTTTAATAGCAAACCCCCGAAGTGAGTTGATCAAGAAGCTCGTGCAGCCCAAGTTCACCAAGAAAATTGGTAAGGAATGGGTGTAAAGATAAATAAATAAATATATATATATATATATATATAAATTAAAATTGGATGTAGAAAGAGATTATATAGGTTCAACTAAAATTTCTCTAAATATGATGAAACTATTATTATTAAATATTGTACGATGATTTTTCCCTTTCGATAGGAATGAGGATATTTAGGGTAATCACACTCTTTTTCCTTTGTTCATGTTTGTTATTTAATTTTTTCAAATTCCACGTTAAAATAAATTGTGTTACAAGCTAACTAATACATGTGAAATTGTCATTTAGTACTACAATTTGGTAGTATTCATTTTCATTTGTAAAAGTATGAGATTTTAGATTTGATTCTCGCCTAAGGCGAATTGAAACCACATTATTGTGAGTTCATTGTGAGAGTAAGTTCACCCCTCCTTCTTAAAAAAATAAAATAAAAATGTGATTTTTTTTATTTTTGAGTACGAAATTGAGATGTAGCTTCAGTAATGTGTAGCATTCAATGACTATAAATATTGTGGAACTATTATATATTCTATGCTTATTTTTAGTTACGCTCTTTATAACTTTATTTTGATCTTACTTTGACTCTTGTAACTTAAAAGTCATCATTTTACTTCTTAAAACTCAAATTTGTTTCACTTTAACTTGTGAACGCTCTCTTTTCGCTGGAACTTATAAGTTACCCCCTGAAACATATGTGGGACTCAACATCTAATAAGACTAATCGCTAAACAAAGAGGGTACAAAAAATGAATAATAATTGATATAATGAGTAATGACAGTGGTAAAAAAATCATCTTGATATCTTTTATGTGGGAGCAAATCCTCTCTAGATCTACATTAGAGCCCAAGAATCAAATAATCTTGGCCTTTAAAATTTGATATTACGGTAAAAAATTATTATAACTTTCAAGAGTTTTCCATCTTTAACCTGGATCAAATTTTAAAACCAGATTTATTTGATCTTTGAGCTCCGGATGGATGGATCCGGAGAGGATCTGCTTCCCTTATATGTATACTTTGGCACGCTACCGACGCTAAGGCTAAACAAAGCAAAAGGAACAGTAGGTCCCGTAACCATAGACTCACACTTTTGCTTTGCCTATTAATATTTCGAAGAAACAGTGAGTTGTGGGCGTTTAGAATTAGAACCCGACAGGGCGGAGATAGCAGAGCCATGGAAGCGCACACGAAGAAGGAGCTGATGGTGGCGCTGGGGTTTGTTATCTTCACAGTCTTGATTTCCGGCGTCGGAGCCTGGACCGGTGAAATCCACGGCAGAGTTGTTTGCGATGTCTGTGGCGACTCAGCCGTCGGACCCGAAGATCATGTTCTAGAAGGTCATCTTCTGTCTCTCTTTGCTCAACCCACCCAATACCCATTTATTTATTTGTTAGTTGTGAAAATTCTGAGCCGGGTTTTTGTCTTTGGTTTGTTAATTTTTAGTTTTTGATCACTTCCCGTCATCTGTTCGAGTAACTGGGCTGTAATTTTTATGGGTTGGTGATGATCATAAACATTGTGCATTTTTTCCATTGATGTTTTTCGGATGTGGTTTGCGAGCATGTTTAAGAGCATAATTAGATTGTATTGACATGATTTTTCTGAGACTGAGAAAAATTGAAGATATCTCTGGTTATATTATGTTGCCTACTCTGAGTTTGTGTAATTGTATTGTTCTGCATTGGTTTTTGTTTGTAATGGTTTAGTTTGAGCGATATGATTAACGGGTTTGGAATACTTTTCGCTTCATAGATATGAAGATGTATTAGAATTTCTGGTTTTCGCCTAGTCCTTAGAACAATAGCAAATCTTTGGAAGTTAATTTATAGGTTTTGTATTGACAAAACCCGGGTATTGACCTCTTATGTTAAAGGTCACACAGCTAGAGCAATGATTTTATGTCATAGTACTGCACAAAGTCTTCTCATATTCCAATTTGAATTCGTCGCCTAATGGCATGTTTGGTTGTTAGTAATGGGAATGAAAGGGATGCTATCATTCTCATTCCTGACATATCATGCGTTTACTAACATACAAAGAATGAAAAGTAGGTGGATCACACGATGAAAAGTAGGTCTTATATCATTCCAGAATCGCTCCTGTACCATTCTTATACTTGAACAATTTGATTTCTATGCATTTGTACTTCATCAAGAATGCTGTGTGATAATCAAGAAGTGGTGATCATGTACATTAAATGCATAAAAATGCCTAGAAATAAAAACTTGCATTTAACATTTGCTACATAGGAAAACAAAATTGTGTTTCTCTTTTCCATAACTACGATTTCATCATGTTCATGCATACATTTTACACTTGATCTGGAGGTTGATCTAGTTGGATCAAGTTCGACCCTGTAAAGCATTAGGACATCCTCACTAACACAATATACAAGTTGGTATTTGTTTTTCATGACTTTGATACGGTTTAGGATTTTAGAAACTTATAATATATAAACCATGAAAACAAAATGTAGTTATTTGTCCCTATGTGCTTTTCTAAAACCTCTTCATTGGTGATTACGTCTATTAGATTTTGTGTCCACCTGATACATGATACTATGATAAGTCCACATCCATGCGATCTTCTGGTGACTTTGATCATTTGAAGCTGGTAATGAAAGTTAAAATGGTATAGTGGGTGTCTAAGCTTTTAACCGCTATCTAAGGTGCATTTACAATGTAGAAGGGAGAAATTAATGTTTTTGAGCTTTGATTCATTATAATGCAGGTGCTGAGGTAGCTGCACTATGCATTACGAAATCAGGTGAAGTTCTAAATTACCAGGCGTTCACGAATGATAAGGGGGTATATACAGTGGCGGAGACGATGCCCGAGAGTGACAGGTGGGATGCATGCCTGGCACGACCTATCAGCAGCTTCCATGAGCACTGCACCCATCTTGGGGGTGGTAGCTCAGGCGTAAAGTTCACTTATAATCACCCATCTGGCTATTCTCACACCGTTAGAACTTTCGTCTATCGACCAGCAAGCGTACCAGCATACTGCATTTGAGAACTCTAGATCGACGTACATCTTTATTCCGCGGTTGCAGTACGAGCTTTGCTTCAACTGAAAGGAAGAGGAAAAGAGATTATGTAGTCGTCGTAGAATGTGTTTATTACAGGGCATGTAGTTTCTGCTAAACATCGTTCTTGTTAGTATAAAATCCCAGTCCTTGATTGGAATAGCTTAGAAATGCGCTTAGCTGTTGGAAAGTAGGTTTCACCTATCCGAGCTAAGCATCCGATGCGTCGTGGTACTCTAAGCATCCGACGCGTCGTGGTACTCTCGTAGGAACTCCGATCGATTGTAACAGATTTCGTGTTCATCAAGTCATCGCCCAGAAGCAATTTTCGGGAGATTTAGACCGGAATACAAAAAGTACATATAAAAAATGCAATTTTTGCCCCTAATTATACCTCACCGTTGCGTTCATTGACATTTTCGACTGTCTTGGCTTAAGCCCTACACATTTATTCGTTTAAATTTCTTTGTTTGGGCCAAACCTTCAATCATTAGGCCCAAACCCGCCCATGAGGGCCGGGCTACTCGACCTTGATGGATCAAATCTGGGTGATTTTGCTCTGTACAACCAAAATTTTAGATTTTTCTTCCCTACTCTGGCATTAATATTTTTATATCACATAATATGACAATTGATGTGTTATCATCACGTTAATAAATAATTTTGTTTCATTAATTTAGATGTTGATTGAGTGCATCACATAATACGTTATTAAATGCAGTACAAAAATATTTGAATGAATCATTAAATCAAATTCATTGATGAATGGATCCAACTAAATCCTATAACTAAAAGAATCGAATTTATTTCTTAATATATAAATTAAAAGTAATATTTGTAGACGACAAATGGGCTATGTTCCAATTTTTCAATTCTGCACTTCGGGTGTTGTATTGTATTAAGATTTATATAGATTTTGCAAGTGTTTTTTTTTTTTTTTATGTGATAGACTTTTGTGATTTCATAAATTTTTGTTGACTAATAAAAAATCCATGAAATTTACGAACTTTTTAATGATAGATTTCTACAAATTTTATGGAGTTTAATGATAGATTTTGACCCCAAAAAAAAAAAAAAAAAACAACGATAGATCACTCTTTCCTTAAGATTTTGATGAATTTTTAAATCCTGATACTATTCATTTTGCCATTTATTTTATCATTATCGTTAAAATTCAAAATTTTCAAATCTTTTTCGTTAGTTTTCCGTATTATTAAGTACGCATGAATTTAAAAGTCACCCCCTAAATTGGAAGAGGCGCCGCGTTTGCTTTTAAAATTGAAATTACAATGTGTACAGCCAGGAAAGAACAAAGCGAACCTGCCAGATAACCTACAATCTCCACCATAGGAAAACTACCCGTTATAACCTAAAGTACCCATCCAACGGTCAAAATTCCAGCCCGATAAAACAAACCGCGTTTCTGCTCTGAGTTTGGTAACACGTTTCCCAACCTCACCATCCAACTTTCACAGCCAGAAAATCTCACCGTCCAACGGTACTCTAAAGCCACGTGTCCTCCGCCCCCGGCTATATAAACTCCTCACCCTCCTCCCTAAACGCATCATTCATTCAGTCGCCTCTCAATCCCTCACTCAATTCCTCTCATCCTCTCTCTCTAAAAATCTTTGTTTGAGCTCTCTCTTTCTCTCTCTCTACAAATGGCTCGATTCAGCGGCGTCGTTTTGGTGCTAATGGTTTCTCTCTTGCTGGCCTCGACCTGGGCGCAATCTCCTGCATCGTCACCAGCCAAGTCTCCTGCACTTTCTCCCAAAAAATCTCCCACCGCCCCTTCTCCTTCGAGCACTCCACCTACTGCCGCCGCTCCTTCTCCATCGAGCACTTCACCATCCGCTTCTCCATCGACATCTCCCGTCGCCGACTCTCCACCTTATCCCCAATCGCCCTCTCCGACTACCTCTCCATCTTCAGTTTCTAGATCTCCCTCCGAGGCTCCCGCTCCTGCTAACGGTGCTGTTTTGAACAGGCTTTCTGCCTCCGCGTCTGTGGCCGCTGGGATCTTCGTTGCTGTATTGGTTATGTAGAGTGGGGGTGTTTATGGACTTTTGAATTTCCATTTATTATTGTATTAAATTCTTTTATTAATTTAAATTTGTAGCAGTGTTATATGAGAATATAAAGAGACATTATTTTTCGATTATTATTTCAATATATGTCATCACCAAATTAGCCTTGCATTCATCCAAGAGCCTCTGTTATTCGAAAAATATTTTTGAAATGGCTGAAAACGTTTTTAAACAATAAAAAATACTTTTGAAAACAATAACTCAAAGGTAGAGTACTTATGTTTCGACATAATTCACATTACAACGAAAGTATAAGCATCCATTGCTGAATCCAATCAAATTTGTCAGTAAAGCAAAATGAGACCGTAGCAACAACTTTTTCTTTTGTCTTGTCCTTTTAATTCTTTTGATGTAATATTATTGTTTGAAAGATGTTCCTAATATTGTTTTTCCCAACTCCCCAACTAAAATTTTCATACAACAATATAATTGGCATACATGAAATCGTTACGAACAATGGTAACATGAACAAATTTCATTTTTAAGCAAGAAATATATATACCTAGTTAGAAGTGACATAATGAGTTTAGTCCCTCAGTGTGCATATAAATGTTATATGTGTTGCTCTATACACCAAATTCAAGTACAAAATAAGAAGCCGGCCTGTCTTTGAGGGGACTTCCGTAAACTATCTAACTTGGAAGCTATTACTGACAGGCCTCGATCCTGATGTCCCACGGACATCGGGATGGTTAGATGCTGGCCAATACTCAAGGGTGATAAAAGTCATTTATTGAAAACATGAGAACTAGAATATGAATAAGATAAAAAAATTTAACTATAATTAATATGCAAATCAGGAACGTGTTCAGAGCACACAACTAACTAGAACACTAAATGAGACAAATAACATAGAAGGAATAAGGAATGGGTCCTACACCAAGATGATCCGAATATGTCGATGCGGAAGTGTCTTGATGCCAGGATTGTACGCATCAATTATATGTTAACATGAGTAAACCAAGTTAATATATATATATATATATATATATATTAACGGGTACCTCGCCCGGGAGCTAGATCATACGTGTAGTGTCCGGTAAGGCATTCTTCTCATAGCAAGACAAATATATCGAGTCAAAACCTAATGGAAGTTGAACGGGCTATATAACCTATCTAGTCTTCTATGCCCTCTTTGAAGGGTTAAAAGTGGATTGACTCAAGCACTCCATTCCCTTTCTTACAAGTTACAAGAGAATCAGTCAATTCCACTTGACATTTTCTTCTTTCTTTCCTTAACAAAATCTCACTTGGACTATGTTTCATGCTTACCCTAAAAATGATATGTCTACTTGATTATCAAAATCGTCTATTTTAACATTATAAAAATCAACCAAGTAGAAAATGGTTTAATCATGCTGATGATACTTTATCGCAGTGACTAAAAGAAATCATGCTTGTGCATTTTAGTGCAGGTTCAATTTCCATCAATCCCGCTCCCTCCTAACAAATAACAAGTTCACTTTAAAGCTATTGTTTGTTAAAAAAATGGTTTAACCATTCGGTCTATTTCTTCATGTACAAAATAATTCTAATCCTAGCTAACATGCCCTACTTTAGCTTCAAATTTTCCAAACAGAGATTTTTACTGTATCAATCTACATTTTTGGGGTTTCTATCATATTTTATTAAATAGATATTTGTGTTATGATCTAAGTAAGTCTTGAAATATATATAAAAGATTTGTCCTTGTTGTATCTAAGAAATCATTTTTTTAATATAAAAAAAATAAAATAAAGAAGCCATTGCAATTGCCGGAAGCTGGATCATATATGCAGTGTCTGGTGAGGCATTATTTTCCACAGCAAGACAAATACATGGAGTCAAAACCTAACAATTGAATGGAAGTTGAACGGGCTATAACCTATCTAGGCTTCCATGCCCTCTTTGAAGGGTTAAAAGTGGACTGACTCAAGGACTCCATGCCCCTTCTTACAAGAGAATCAGTCAATTCCACAAGACACTTTCTACTTTCTTTCCTTCTTTTCAAAATCTCACTTGGAATAAATTTCACGCTTGCCCTAAAAATGATATTTCTACTTAATTATCAAAACTGTCTATTTTAATATTATAAAAATCAAACAAGTAAAAAATGGTTTAGTAGTGCTGATGACACTTTATCACAGTGATGGAAAACAATCACGTTTATCACTTTGGTGCAAGTTTGACCCCCACAAATTCTCTTCCTTTCTAAAAATGAACAATTTAACCTGCTAATGCTATTGTTCGTTAAGAAAATGGTTAAACTGTTTGATTTATTTATTTTTTATTTTTATAAAAAAGTACGATATTCATTAATTGAGAATAAAACGTACAAAAATGCAAAGATAATGTGCATAAAAAGACTTCGATAAAAACTTAGCTGACATGCCCAACCTTAGCTTCAAATTTTGCAATCTGGCACCAAGATTGAAAGAAAGGATCCGTTTGCTTTAAGATAACAATCTGTACTGCCAGAAAATAAAAGAAAGAAAGATTTCCAAAAGAAAAGAAAAGTCCAACTAAAATAAAAAGAAAAGAAAGAAGCGAATCTGCCAGATAACCTACCATCTGCACCGTCGGATAGTTAACCGTTCTAGGCTGTAAAGCATACATCCAACGGCCATAAAAGAACCAGCCCAGTCCAATAAACAAAGCGTGTTTCGGCTCTGAGTTGGTATCACGTTCTCTTCACCGACCTTCAATTATCACAGCGAGAAAATCGCCATCGTCCAACGGTATGCTACACGCCACGCGTCTCCTCCCCCTCCCTCTATATAAACCCCGATCTGCTCTCCTTAAACCCATCTGCAATTCGCCTCTCAAACCCTCACTAGACAATTCGCCGCCTCTCAAACCCTCACTAGACTCCTCTCTCTCTCTCTCTCTAAATCTCTGTTTGAGTTTCTCTCTTTCTCTCTCTACAAATGGCTCGATTCAGCGGCGTCGTTTTGGTGCTTATTGCTGCTCTGTTGCTGGCTTCGACCGGGGCGCAATCCCCTGCATCGTCGCCAGCCAAGTCTCCTACGCTTTCTCCCAAACAAGCTCCTGCCGCCCCTTCTCCGTCGAGCACTCCACCTACTGCCGCCGCTCCTTCTCCTTTGAGCACTCCACCTACGGCCGCCGCTCCTTCTCCATCGAGCACTTCATCATCGACTTCTCCTTCGACATCTCCCTCGACATCTCCCGTCGCCTACTCTCCACCTTCTCCCCCATCGTCGTCTCCGCCTACTTCTCCCTCGTCAGTTACTCGATCTCCCTCCGAGGCTCCCCTTCCTGGTAACGGTGCCGTTTTGAATAGGTTCTCCGCCGCCGGGTCTGTGGCCGTTGGGATTTTCGCTGCTGTTTTGGTCATGTAGAGAATCGGACTACAGGGTGGAGATGTTTATGGACTTTTGGTTAACTTTGTCAATTTATTGTGTATGGATTCATTTATTAATTTATTTTCCATAATATTAGATATGTAGCAGTAGCACTGTCATATGAAATATAAGGGGACATTTTTCTATCGATTATCATTTCAGTATTTCTGGTTTTATAAAATTAAGTCCTGAAATATTGAAGAATTGCAGTTTGATTTTGTGGCCTTTTAACTGACTAAAAGCTACATTTGCAATCAATGTGAAATCATCTTTTATTTCTAATCATCAACAATCACATTTTATAACTTACAAAATTTAACCTAAATAATTTGTCTCTTTATCATTACTTTTTTTTGGGTCCATGTTTGATACTACTTTTCGAAACGCGCAAACATTCATGGAAATGAGAACTTTTATGTAAAGCATAGACATACATATTATTCGCTTAATGTGAGTTTGTAATTAAGTAAGACATTAAATTAATATAAATCGAATGAGTGAGTGATATATTATCACTTCATGTGATGTCCAAATTAAGCATGCCCCAAACCAGTGATATGAGTTGCATGTGTAAATGGTTTATTGTCATCTCACGTGTAGGTTAAATTAAGCACGCTTTAAGCTCTTGAATTAATAGAACAAACACTGCCTTTAATTGGTGGGTAACAAATCGTCTTGATGCGAATGGCTAAAAAACAGTTTTTCTAGTCAATAGTCACGACCCCATCACACATGTTCACCCAACAAGTGTGCAAAACCCAATTTTACCTCCTACTCAAAAAATTGAAAACCCTAGCACCTAGCAGTCCTCCTCCCTTGCCACCATGCTGGATTCGTCCACCAGTCCGACTGCTGGCCTTCTCACTTTATCTAAAACATTAAAAGTAGGGCATTATTAGAGCATTTCCATCCCTACAGACTTTGCGCTAGCACCCAACGCATTTATCCACTCAAGTGAACAGTAATAGACCACAGTCAACAGTAATAGGCCAAAGCATCTTCATCCCTAAAAAAAATAGCCTAGTCCATTTTATTAAAATATTATTATTTTTTATTATAAAATAATAATTTAATTTTTCTTCTTCACTCTGGACTCCCTGCTTCTTCTCTCTGGAACCCAACCCACACTGCGAAACGACGCAACCCACAGCTGAAACACCTCTCCATTTCGATTGAAGCTCCAAAGTTGAGTTACGAAGGTAAGTTTGTGGGAGTTAAGCTCGCTGGTTTTCTCGTCGCCGCCGCCGCTCTCTAAGTCTCGCTCGCCTCCTTCTCTGTCCTCCAACCGGCTCGAAAGCTTCCAGTAAGAGCAGGCAAGGATCAACAGAGCAAAAGCAATCAGACCCAACATCCCCGCCAGGCCTCCGAATAGGTAGGGCACCGGAGAGTGCCACGGCAAGCGCTGCTGCTGCTGCTGCCCCGTGGTTGTTGCAGTTGGCGGCAGTGATGATTCTGTTAAAATGCATGAAATAAACATGTTGGAATAATGGTAGGCTAGTCAATTTTCTTGTTCAAAGTTAGGCAAGTTAGGTTAGTCAAGCAAGATAGGTAAGTTAGACAAAATTAGGCTTATGATCTTTTTCTTCCCTATATATATGTTTCATCTTGTAATTGTTTCATCAAGTAAATATACATCAAAATTCAATATGGTATCAGAGCTGTGATCTGGAAAAAACCACAAAACACAGCTCTAAAGCAGCCACGAGGTCAACCATTCTAGGCATGGCCTCTCATTCAAAATGGGAAAATCCCAACCACCCGCTCTATCTCCACCACTCGGATCAACCTGGTGCAATCCTCGTACCACAACCATTGGTGGAAGACAACTATAACACATGGGTTCAATCCATGAGTATGGCCTTAACGGTCAAGAACAAACTTGGTTTTGTTGATGGGACGATCAACAAACCAAGTGAGGATAATTTTGAGGAGCTGCAGCAATGGAATCGCTGCAACAACTTGGTCAAGACATGGCTACTAGGCTCCATGTCAAAGGAGATTTCAGGGAGTGTCATCAACTACAAGGATGTTCGACAAATGTGGACCGATCTGCAGGAGAGGTAATATAGTTCAGCTGTTCCATGTTGAGAACGAGATCTATGATTGCGTCCAAAGCAATATGAGTGTAAGTTCTTACTTCACTAAACTTAAAAGTTTATGGGATGAACGTGATACTTTGTGTTCCATTCCAGCATGCAGTTGTGGAACAAAGAATGAGATGAACTTATATGTTGAAACTCAGAAAACCATGAAGTTCCTTATGGGATTGAACGAATCGTATGTTACGGTTCGAAGCAATACTCTTCTTCTCGAACCACTGCCTACGGTGAACAAGGCATATGCATTGGTCCTTCGACATGAACGCCAGGCAGAGGTTTCCAATGGGAAAAAGCACACAACTAGAAACTGCTGTCTTTGCAGTGAAGAATCTGTCGCGAGAACCTACACCTGAAGACAAGGAGATGCAATGTGGAAAGTGCAATAAAACCAATCACATCACCAAAAATTGTCGTGCACATCTCAAGTGCACTTTTTGCGGATGGAAAGGCCACACCTTCGATTTCTGTCGAAAACGGAAAGCAGCCACAGAGACCGAATCCAATCGTTTCTTTTCTTCAAAGGGCAATCAAGTTTCACAAAGTAACAAGCAAGAGACAGTGCCTAATTTCCCGTTCTCTCAGGAGGACTGCAAGCAAATCCTTCAGATGTTGAACAAGAACAAATCATCATTTGCCAATCAAGTCAGTAATCCTCCTAGTCATGAAGAACTTTCAGGTAAAACCTTCTCTTTTTCATGTAAAGGAACCAAAAGTATTTGGATCCTGGACAGTGGTGCCACAGATCACATAGTTTGCAGTCCTAGTCTCCTTACAAACTCACTAGCTGTTGAAAATCATACAGTTGAACTGCCAGATGGTTCCGTTGCCAAAGTCACTCACATTGGACAAGTTGTTTTCTCTCATAATCTTATCCTTGAAAATGTCCTATGTGTGCCGTTCTTTAGGTTGAATTTAATATCTATCAGTAAACTAGCCTATGATTCCTTATATGTCACCATTTTCTTCACCCAATTTTGTGTCGTTCAGGACCTTCGCTCGGGGAAGATGATTGGGACAGGAACTGAAAGGGATGGACTTTACTACCTCGACCCATCAAAGAAAGGAACATGCAACAATATTCAAACCGTCTCACCAAAGCTTTGGCACCAACGCCTAGGACACCCATCTCATAAAGCCACTTTGTTATTACCTTTATTTAACAATAAGGCTTGTGATTTGGAAAAATGTTTAATTTGCCCATTGGCCAAACAAACAAGATCACCCTTTCCTTTGAGCTCTATTTCTACCAAATCATGTTTTGAATTATTGCATATTGATATTTGGGGTGGTTATCAAGTTGCTTCTATTTCAGGTGCCAAGTATTTCCTTACCATCATAGATGACTACACTAGAAGCACTTGGGTTTATTTGATGAAACATAAATCTGACACAAAAGACATTTTAGTCGGATTCATTCAAATGATTGAGACTCAATTCAATACCAGAGTTCAAATCATACGAAGTGACAATGGCCTTCAGTTTAAGCTTGAGCAATTTTATGCTCTCAAAGGCATCATACATTAATCTAGTTGTGTCAACACACCACAACAAAATGGTGTTGCCGAACGTAAACACCGACATTTGCTCAATGTTGCTCGGGCTTTGCTCTTTCAAGCTTGTTTGCCAAAACGTTTTTGGGGGGATGCAATCTTAACCTCAGCCTACCTCGTTAATAGAACACCCACTCCACTTCTCCAAGGTAAAACACCTTACGAAAAACTGTTTCACAAAGCACCTAACTATTCCCATTTAAAGGTTTTCGGTAGTTTATGTTTTGCTTCTACACACGCCCAAAGGCCCTCTAAATTCGACCCCCGTGCAATCCAATGCATTTTTCTTGGGTATCCTTATGGTCAAAATGGTTATAAATTGTTTGATATAAAACACAATAAGACTTTTGTTTCTAGGGATGTTGTTTTTTTTTTAAAATCATTTTCCATTCCAAAATCATACCACTTCCGCTGCCCCGTCTCCATCAAACATTACACCCTCACCTATCACGTTTGACTTGACCTCTCCCATTGAGTCGCACTCAAGCCTTGCACCCGAAGAAATAAACACCACCTCTCCCACACTTACCGACATCACACCACTCTCATCTCCTTTACCTACTACAACTCCACCACCAGATACCTTATCAACACCTTCACATACCCTACACTCTTCCCCACCTCCAACCACTCCATCACCAGACCAACCACCTCCAATCCGTCGTAGCACTCGACCAACCAAAACTTCCACATTTTTGCAGGACTTTCATGTTGAGGTGGCCCTCCCTTCCCGTGTTGCTCCCACATCTTCCACAAGCATGGTCCAGTCATCAGGTACATCTCACCCCATATCTCATTATTTATCTTATGACCATGTATCCCCCACTCACAAAACCTTTCTCACCACCCTCACCATTATCAAAGAACCCACCAGTTTTTCGCAGGCAGTTCAGGATCCAAAATGGTGTGACGCCATGCAAAAAGAGATTGTTGCCCTTCATGACAATCGCACTTGGACTCTTGTGCCCTTACCACCTCACAAACATCCCATCGGTTGCAAATGGATCTATAAAGTGAAGCTTAAACCTGACAACAGTGTTGAACGCTACAAAGCTCGTCTCGTTGCTAAAGGCTACAGTCAAACTGAGGGGCTTGATTATCGGGAAACTTTTGCTCCAGTTGCCAAGCTCACCACCGTCCGCGTCCTCCTGAGTATTGCCTCCATACGAGGCTGGCATCTTCATCAACTTGATGTGAACAACGCATTTTTGCATGGTGACTTATACGAGGAGGTTTATATGTCCGTGCCTCCTGCGTTCGGACACGAGTATGCAAATTACACAAATCCATTTATGGTTTAAAAAAGGCCTCGAGACAATGGTTTATCAAGCTATCTAGTGCTCTCAAG